CGCAGCTGCTCTGCCCATCTGGGTGGCAACTCCGAGCGCACAAATATCTGGGCCGCTTGCAGGAAAAGTGTGCTCAGGCAGCCAGTAAGTGGAACGTGGAGCAGTGGCTGCTGGGCCAGGCAGCTGGCAGGGCCTGGCAGGCCAGGGAACAGGAGGACGCTGATGCAGACGAGGCCCAGGCAGGCCAGGCCAAAGCAGGCCCATGGCCCACCTGAGGCCTGAACCAGTGGGCTGTCCCAGTGCCAGATAAAGAGCCCCAGGGCTGCCAGCACCAGGCCCAGTGCCAGGCCCAGCAGTATAAGCAAAACCAGCACGGCTGGCTCCCCCCATGCTAGGAATGTCCGCCTGCGGGGGAAGCAGCGCGTGCTCCGGTCCGGGGACCACTGGTCCTGCTCACACTGGGTGCAGAGGAAGTCATCTGTGGTGTGGGAGGAAAGAAGGGGCACTGGTGGGCACTGGCCCCTCGGTCTCACTCCCACCCACTTGCTCTGGCCTCAGAGTTGGCCGTGGAGCCAGGACACAGACCGCACGTGTCCCTGGTCCCCACTTGTCCTCAGCTCATGCAGGCCTGGGAGAGCTGCTCACCTGGGCTGCGCTGGTAGCTGCCGGCCTTGCAGTCCATGCAGTCGTAACAGCAGGAATGGAAGCCTTTCACTCGGCGCACCTGGCCCTCCCTGCACTGCCGGGAGCACTGGGACACAGGCAGCTGGCACGGGCCCTTGAGGCTCAGGTTGTGCATGGCTGGGCGTGCCCCCAGACTAGGGATGGTCCCTCCAACCCGTCCCCCCGACCTCACCCATCCCCCCTGACAGAGCTAGAGCTTGTTCCTGGGTGAGGGGGGCTCACCTGGTTCCCTGGTGTGTGCCAGGACAGCTGGGAGTGCCAGAGCTTCAGGCGGCCATTAAAGACTCCGACAGTGCGCAACTCGGGTGTCAGGTCCTGCCACACCCACAGTTTTAGGTCATAATCCATGTTCACGTTCCCACTGGCATCGAACTGCAGTGCCAGGCCACGTGCGTGGAAGGTCATGTTGTACATGTTCTCGAGGAGCTGGTGGGTGGGTTGGAGCAGGTGGAGGGAGTGCTGGGCCAGCAGCTGCCTCCAGCCCTAACTCCGCAAGGAAACTCCTCCTCGGGAGCATGGGCGGTGGCGGGGGGGGCTCCCCGCCCTTACCTGCCAGGGTCGCACAGGCTCCCGCGGGGGGCAGCCTGAGGCAGTGCAGAGCAGTGTGTTGTGGAGGGCTTGGGCCACGCCGTACACGGCCGCGTAGGCGGCGAAGGTCTGGTGGTGCAGCAACCCCGCAGATACGTCCTCCAGCGTGATGTGGTCACACTGCGGGCAGCGCGGCCCCACCACATGCTCCTCTAGGCCTGGGTCTTCGGCGTCCAGCGAGGCACAGAAGGCAGGGTTGGCCGCCAAGGCCAGGCAGCTGCGCACGTAGGATGGAAACTCGGGCATCGGGGCGCCCTGCTGGAGGAAGCCGAGCACGGTGCCCACCGTGGCCAAGCCGGGCAGCGTCATGACCAGGTCCGAGGTCAGCCAGGCCTCACTGGCCACCCACACCTTCGGTGAGAGCCTGCAGCGGATGCTGTAGCGGAGGAGGGTGTGGGCCGCGCGGGCGGAGGAGAAGAGCACCAGCACCTGCACGCGGCTCTGGTTCACCCGGCGCAGCAGGTCCTGCACAGAGCCCAGCCGCAGGCCGCCCGCGTGCGGCAGCGGCACCGGGCCCTCGTGCGCGATGCAGATGCCCCTGGCATTGGCCAAGCTGGAGAATAGGCTCAGGCCCTGCCGGCCGTACTCGTCGTCGCTGCCCACCGCAGCCACCCAGTTCCAGCCGAGCTCCTGCAGCAGCTCCACCATAGCCTGGGCCTGCGCGCGGTCACTGGGCACCGTGCGGAAGAAGGACGGGAAGGTTTCCCGGTTGCTCAGCCGGTCGGTGCTGGCCCCGCAGCTGACCTGCAGGGACAGCGAGGCAGCTCCTGTGGTGAGGCCTCCTGCGGGCAGGGCCGGCGGGGGCGGGGGCCCCAGGGGGTCGGGGGGGCACACCTGAGGCATGAGGAAGAAGCTGAAGAACTTGCCGGTGACGAGGGCGAGCTCGGACGAGTGGGGCCCGATGACAGCCAGCACGCGCGGCTGGTACTGCGTGTAACTGCAGTAGGCTGCGATGTCGCAGCTGCCCGCCTTGGCCATGAACGTGAGGCTGGGCTTCATGGCCACCACGGGCTCTGAACACGTGTCAAAGAGGTCACAGCCCAGACGCAGCCCTGGCAGCAGGGTGGACCCATTGTTGATCTCCTCCACAGCCATCTTCACGGCCAGCGCCCAGAGCCGGCCGAGGGACGAGAACCTGGGGCCACACAGGGCTGTGGGCGGCCAACACCCTGTCCCCACTCAGGAGCACCCCAGACCTGAGCCACCCCCACCCTCGTCACCCTTGCTCCCCACCCCCCAACCTCCCTACCTGGTGCACACGGTGGCATTGGGTTGTGTCCTGCCGCCCAGACCAGCATCCTCAGCTGTGCCCAGGGGGAAGAGCCCGCCCAGCACGTAGTCCCCTTGCATCCTGAGCTGCTGGGATAAGCACAGTGGGGCTCCTGCCCCGAGGCCCGAGAGAGCCGTGAGGCCCAGGAGAGTCCAGCCTAGCATGGCAGGTGCCAGCTTCCAGCAGGGACAGTGAATGAGAGAATAGGAAGGGGGGCCCCGATATGATGACTTGGGGCAGGGGAGAGCAGAGAATTTGCTTAGCAAAATCCTCACCTGTCCTCACCTGCCAAGCCCAGGGGCCCCTGGGGACACCCTTGCTTTCCTGGGCCCAGTGGGTTTGTGCTCCTTGCACTCTTTGGTCCTGATGCTACCCACCAGGCTCTCTGGCTGACAGTGACCTGGGCAAGCAGGCTCTGAGCAACCACGGACCATGATCTTGTTACCTGGCTGTGCCCAAGCCCCTCCGCACCCTCCCCTTTCCTGGAAAAGAGGAGGGACACTCAGGACTTCTCCACCAGAGGATCCTGGGGTCTCCAGCTGCCTGGAGGTGGTACTGGTGTCCCTAGTAGTAGGGACAGAAACACATCTTCCAGCCCTGGGCAGGACTGTTAGTAGTGGGGGGAGGGCTGCGGGGGAGGGGGGATGCAGGCATGACTACACCTGCAGGCTCAGGGCGACCAGCCAGGAGGGCAGCAGCTGGCTCTCCATCCTGTGGCTGGGCTGGAGCGGGGGTGGGTGGATGGTTCCCAGGGTGGGGACTGTGGGAAGACAGCGCAACTTGAAAGTCTGGGCTGTCGCTCTGCTCAGGGTCTGAGGACAGAAACTTCAGGGACCCTGAGCCTGGATCTGCCCACACCCTGCCTGGGCTCTTAACACAGCAGGCGCCTCCCTCGGGGGACAGAGGGCACAGCGGGGATTGCAGGGCTGTGCATGCAAACAAGGGAGGAAAGGCTATAACCAAATGGGCCTCTGAAGCTGGGTCAGCACCAGGTGTGTGCAGGTGAGCCCGATGGATGTGCCTGCTGCAGTTCCTCCCTAGCCTCTGGGTGCCCCAGGGATATGACACGAGGCTCAGGTGTGGGGGTGCCCATGAGGCACCCAGAGGAACGAGGGAGGCTACTGACACCCCTGCGGTGGAGTGGGAGCTCTGGGTGGTCTCAACCCTGGCGAATGTTTACAGGAGATAGTCTGGGATCTGATCTTTGCTGCCCGTGGGGAGGGACCAAGCTTCATGGCATGCTCGGGGCACGCACAATACACACTTGATGCACGGTACACACATGCATGACACACATGCTGCGCGTGGCTCCTGCATGCCTGTACGCACATGGGTGCACACAGCAGCCTTCACGGTCACCTGCCTTTGTGGGCACCACACAGTGCTATGGTCTGTGTGGGACAGGCCCAAGCAGCAGGCCTGGAGGTGGCGGAGGGGACCCAGCACTGGACACTGTTTGGGTCTGACACTGGGGTGTCCAAGAGCATGCTGCCCAACACGTATCCTCCTTCTGTCCCAACCACTGCTGAGGCTCAGAACAGCTCCCCTGCACAGGCCGCAGGCCGGGAAGGTCTTTCTTCTCCCTACAGGCTGCGCAGTTGGCTTCAGACCTGCCCTTCCAACCCAGCCCCACAATGTCCAAATGTGGACATATCCCAAAATGCGGATAATGACATGGACCTTGGAGGGGGCTCGGGGGATACAAGCACAGACAGGTAGCATCCCCCTGCCCCATGGTGGCCAGGATAGGCCTCACGTCCCTAACGCGTGGGGTCACATCCCTCCTCCCTTCAGGAAGTAGCTGCCTGCCGCATGATTACCTCCACCTAGAGGACACTGCCTGCTCTGTAAGTGGCATTTATTGATGTTGAAAAAACCATCACCCAATTACACTCTCCCAGGGTCTCTGCCAGCTGACACGTGTGCACATCTGCTGTGTGGTGGATACGGTCCCCTTGGCTTCGAAGGGCCAGAGCTCACAGTGAAGAGCCAGTAGAAGAGGCCAGGCCCCCAAGTGCTGGGTGACGGCTGGCCTGTCGGCTAGGCTTCTAGTCCAGGCTCCCTCCGTGCACCGTCTCTTTCTGGCTCTCCTGAGCTCTGTGGGGCAGGGCGGAGGGAACACAGCCTCTTGCCGGATGACGGGGAGGGAGCGGCTAGCCCCGGACCAGCAGGCTGTGGGCTGTGCGGTGCAGATCCACAGGCAGCTGCCTGGGGGGCACCTGACGGACGGGGTGGCCGCTGATGAGAGTGCAGAGAGGCGGGGCGGGCCTCCACTCTCCACTCAGGGCTTCAGCTCCTGGCTCTTGCTGCCAAGGACATGTGGGTCCCTGGCTAGTAAGGAGGTGAGCCATGGGGAGAGCGCCTGCGTTGCCAACGGCTGCCCAGGGGTTCTATCCCTCCTGGGGACGGCCAGCCCCTCGTGGAGGGGCCCAGGGGTACCGGGTGCGGACACGGAGATGGGCCAGGGATGGACAAGCACCTGCTGGATGTGCTTGCCGGCACGCAGGAGGACGTCTCTGTGCCACAGGGCCCTGGGACTCTGCCCCATTTCACGACTCGGCTCACGGGCAGGGGCCGCTTCTCTGGGTTTCCCATGAATGCTGATCCTGCCCCTTACCTGCCCTGCCTTCTGCACCTCGCCATCTGGGTGAGGCCCGACTGGACACAGGTGTATCTCAGCTGAGGGTAAAGCAGAGATGCTCCCGGCAGAGCGAGGTGACAGGGCAGGAGTAGACTGCCGCGGCCCGCGTCCTCTGCCATGGCCTGTGCACCGCAGGCTTGAAGCATGGCCTGGGTGGGCCACGCTGGGCCCGGGGCTCCAGTCAAGCTCAGCGAGCAGAGGACAGTGTTCTTCCCATTCCTGGGGCACCCACACATCTCCGTGGGGAGACTGACGGGTGCTGGCTGCCCCCCTCCCCTGCCCCGGCCCGCTGGCCCTCAGGGCAGATCCAGCAGGGAATGCTTGGCATAAAGCTCCTGGGAGACACTGTAGACTCGCTCAATGAAGGGCAGGGCCTCGCCCAGCATCTCCACAGCCTGCTGTGGGGACCCCACGTTCATGGCCTCCAGGAAGACCTTGCGTGTGGGCAACGTACAGAAGGCCACAGTGACAGCCCGGCGGATAATCCAGGGGTGGTAGGCCGCCAGCGAGGCATTGTAGGAGTCGGTGCAGAGCACAGCCGTGCGGGCGTCCTCGGGGCTGGTGCGCAGGCCTTCCAGGAAGAGCTGTAGCCAGCGCAGGGCACGGTGCAGCCGAAGCACCGTCCGGCAGCCCGAGTCTGGGTGGCGGGAGCGCCGCGTCACGTCCACCAGCTGGTTGCCCACCTCATAGGCCACCATGGCCTGCAGGCTGCTGTAGTGCTCCCGCTGGGGGCCGCTGCGCAGACGCTCCATGATCTGCAGTTTCGCTGTGACATCCTTTGAGATGAAGGAGAAGATGGCACCCAGACTGTTCAGGAACCTGCTCAAGGGGAAGCAGGAGTTCAGCCCGGGTGCAGGGGAGACCCCCGCCCCCCGCCTCCTGGAGCACGCGCGCCCCTGCAGGAGCTGCCGGCCAAAGGGTGAGTGAGAGTGGCTCACCAGCCCCAGGCAGGCGGGAGCCGGCTGTGCCCAGCACCCAGCACAACACATGGGAGGGGTGGGGCCCCACGAGGCAGTGCCCCCCCAAGCACCTGACTAGACCCCTCCAGCCGGCGAGGTAGTGATCCAGAAGCACCTCCTCCTTCTCGTTGAGACACTGCTTGAAACTGACCAAGACGACCCGCAGGTTGAAGTCCGACTCCAAGCCATCCATTTCTCAATACGTGCTGAAACACGTGGGAAGTCAGGCTGCTGGGTTGTCTCCCTACGAGTCAGCTCACTCCTTGGGTCACTGTTTTGGGGGAGGGAGGCGAGAGCAATCAGAAAACAACTGCTGGGATCCAGCTGCCCCCCACTAAAAGCCCACACTGGGCCCCGTGCCTGCATCAGTGCCCTTCTCCCCAGAAGCCTACTTCCTTCTGCCTGGGCCACAAGATCGGACACAAGGACCCAATGCTGCCCTGGGCCTGGAACACATGCCCACAGACCTTAGCACGGCCCCTCCTTGTCACTCAGCCTTGTCAAACCACTCTGCTACATCTTATTGATGGCAAACATCTTCACTCACGTTTTTTGGCTCGTTTATTGTTTGTTTCTCTCACCAGAGTCAAACACCAGAGCCACGTCTCTGCCCAGAGCCAAGCACCCTTCCAGGGTGGGTGACCCATGAGACAAACAGCCAGCCCTGCCTGTCAGGGCGATATTCTTGGAGAAAGCCGGGAAAGTCCAACATGGTAGCTAAAAACAAGATAAGTACTATGGAAGGTGGAGGGCCGGGAAGGGTGGCCAGGTGGGCTGGGCGCTTCCTGGCTTTTCTGCTGCATCCTGGGCCAGAGCAGAGGCTCCAAGGTCAGCATGGCCTGACAGACACCGATCTTTTCACTCCTGCTGGAGCGGTACAGGTGCCATGCAGAAGGGCAGCTGGGCCAAAGGTCTGAAGACAGCCACAAGGCCCTCCCCCATCCCCAAGGAACCTTCCAGAAGTGCCTGAGGCCAGAGTCCCACCCTGGGTTCTGCTCACATTCATACAGTCCCGCCATAAACATGCAAGTGCCCACACACTGAATGGGTGCCACTGGGCAACCCAGCCTCTGTCCTCCTGGGTGCCTAGGGCTGGCACTGGGGTTGGGCTCTGACAGTCCCTGGGGACTCAGCTGCATCTTGCCACCCAGGATGCCAGGGGCATCTGATGGGGCCTAGTGGCTGCTGAGGCCCTGGAGGCTCCTGGCATTGGGCGGAGCCCCCAGAGGTGAGCTCACCCTGTCTTCAGGTGTGGGGGACAGTCGTGCCTGGCCTCAGGAAGAACGGGAGCTCCAGAGACTTCCGGCCTGCCCCTCCCCTCTCTCAGGGCCTGTCTTCCGTCCCTGAGGCCTTCAGGGCTACCTTCCTGGACACCAGATATCCTGTGCGCCTGGCCTTCCTGTCTAGAACCTGAGCCAGCAGGGCAGAGGAGCTGCTGGGAGCTTTTCAGAACTTGCAAACAACAGGAAGGACACGGGCTGTGTAGCCCGGGCCAGGCAGCCTGCCAACTCTGGGGAGGTGATGCAGGGCACCACCAAGGCTCCCCCAGGGTCAGCCCACAACCCCAAGGTCAAGTCTCGGCAAGAGGGCTGCCTTAGCGCCGCCCCTCGGTGGCTGACAGCAGGCTGAAGGCCCCGGGGAGAAGAAGGCACCCAGCCTAGCCCCACACCCCACAGGCCCAGCGGGTAGGACTGAGGCCCTGTCCAGTAAGCCCTGCAAGTCCTGCTCCGGAAGGGAGCTCCAGGTGGCGCCAGGCTCGGACCCCGCGCTCGGGTGGAGCCTAGTCCTGGGCAGGTCCCGCTCCAGCCGAGGCCCAGGGATTAAGCAGAGGCCCGGCTACCTGGGCGGCGTGGAAGCCAGGCCTTCGGTCGCCCCCTCCCACGCCTGGCCCCTTGGCGATGCCCAGGCCCACCTGCCGAGTTCGGTTGAGCTCTGCTCCCCGCCCGGGGCCCGAGCCCGGGGCCCTACCGCTCACCTGCGCCGCCGCCGCCCCCAGCCGCGGCTGCCGCTGGACCCGCTGCCCCGCCCCCGGCCGCCTCCCTGACGTCCGGGATTGGTTACCGGCTGCCCAATCCGGAGGCTCGACGCGTGGGAAGGCGTTTCCGGCGGGCGCACCGGAAGCTGGCGCCGTTGGGGCTGCGCCTGCGCGATACGTCGCCGCGGGTCGGGAAACGGCGCGCCAGAGTCTGGGGTCTGGGTGTCGTGCGGCCGCGGTGGTTCTGCCGGCTCGGTGGGGGCAGAGACTACGGGCGTGGGAGCGCGCCCGGCAGCATGCCCGAGATCAGGGTCACTCCCCTGGGTGAGTGAGGCGCGCTCGGCCGGCCTCGCGGGCGCGGGGCGGGCGGTGGTCCGGGGACGAGCCGCGGGGGCGCCGAGGGCTGGCCGGGGTCGCCGACCAGCGGCTGCCGTCCGCGGAGGCCTCGGGCCGGCTCCGCCTCCCGAGGGTCGGCTCGGGGGTCGGCCGCTGCTGTGCTGCTGCGTCCCCAGCTCTTCTCGCCGTGAGAGGAGGGTGGGTCCGCCCTCCAGACGCCGACCCCGAGAGCCCCGGCCTGCGTCCTCGCCGCGCCGGCTTCTGTCCACGTGCACTGATGCCTGAGGTGGCCCTCGCTGCCCTCCTGCGTCGGTCTCGCACCCGGTACCTGCGGCTTCCCGTTTACCCAGTCCAGCCGTCCACGCGCCGTTCAGCCTTGTCTCACCGGGGCTCTGCGGCGGCGTTTGTTTTGTTTTGTTTCTAAGGAAGGTTTGCGTTTTGTAGAAGGTGTAAAAGCCCAAAGAGTGCAGAGCACCTAAGTGGGGAAGGTCCCTGGGAGCCCAGGGCCCCAGGAACAACGGGGGTTATCGGGTTGCGTTCTGGAGGCCAGCCCTCTAGCGCTCTCTGGGCATTCTTCCTGCACTGTGCTCTGTGCTGCCCAGGACCCTGCCTCCTACACTGGGCCATGCGTGGGGAGCGTTTTCCTGGGCAGATGCTCCGCACAGCTCTGCATGCGTCCTCATGCTGTGGGTTCCTCACCATGCAGCACCCCCGGCCCCGTGGGGACACTGAGCTGTTGAACATCTCTGCTCCACGTGCTGGACAGATCCCTCCCTCAACAGCCTCTCATAGCTTTTGGCACGGGTTCCCCTCTGGCTGCTGTGACCCTACACTCCCCTGCCTTTGGCGCCCCTCCAGGGGCATCCTCGGATCATGCTTTCCCGAGTGCTCCTTCACAATTTGGCTTTCTCACCACTCACTCTCTTCCAGCAGTTCTTTCTGCTGCTTCTCTTACCCCAGTCTGCACCTGGGTGTGCTCCCAAGGCCATAGCACGGTCAAAGCAGAACTCCTTCTCTTTTGTCTTCCTCTGCCAGCTTCTGCCTCCTGGCTCGCTGGTCATGTGGGCCAGGTGCAGAGAAGCCTGGGTCACTCCTGCCCCACAGGCTTTGCACGGCCGCCCCTCCCATCTCCTGGCTGTCCTTCTCCACCCTGCTCAGAAGTCATTTTAAGGAAGACTTCCCCTGGTGTGGATCTGGACGTTTCTGTGTCCCCTCCCCTGCCTTAATCTTCTCCAGGGCCTAAACTCTACCTGATGGACTCAGTGTGTGTCTTATCTACATGGTCATTGTTTCCTTTCCTTGAAACACAAACTCCGCAGACGTGAAGTCATCTTTGTTTTCTTCTGAGTCCTGCCTCTTTGTGCGTGCTCTAGACTCTGTTCCCCACATCTGCGGCCCTGTTTGGGCCACTCTCCTTGCTCCCTGGGATGGTTGTGATTCCTGTTGGGAGTAGAGGCCAGTGCCTAAGAACCGAGCTCTGGAGTCCAGAAAACCATTCCTGGCCCCATGCTTAGGGTCCATGTGTCCATGGGGTGATCCCATGACTTCTGTGCCTTCACATCCTCTGTAAAGAGGGGCAGCCCTCCCCTTACCCCATCACAAATGTCTGGAGGGCCTCTGTGCTGGGCACAGCTCTAGGGCTAAAGGTGTAGCAGGGAGCAGACGGCTGAGACCCTGATGTTGTCCTGCTGACGCAGGAGCAGGCTTATGAGAGATCTCCAGGCCTTTGGCTGGGCGGCCTGAAGCATGCAGACGAAGCTCTTGGCTGGGATCACCTACTGTTGTCACGGGTCACTGAAGCTTCTCAAGGACCAGTCTGGGTCCTGCTCTGGGCCACCTTGATGTGTGTGGCGCTAACAGAAGGCGCTGACTCTGGCTGGCAGACGGAAGGTTGTAGGATCAAGATGGAAAGCGGGTCGTTTGCTATCATCAGGCCCTGCAAGGCTGTGTGCCTTTCTTCTTGGGATTCCAGACCCTAGAGGAGGTGACAAATGGCTACTGGAGGTGGCTGGAATGTGGCCTGCTGGGGCTGGAGCAGATGGGTAGGGCTTGAAGTCAGGAACGTGGATAGGACTCAGGTTAAGTTCTGGGCTCTGGGTGCCCTGCGGGGGTGTGGTGGTGAGCCATCTGCATTGTGGCCACTGTAACTGGTCATTGCTGGACAGCTCGGGCCAGGTCTCCCCATGGCTAGGCTAAAGCCACACAGGTGTCCCTCTGCAGGGACACCACCTGGAGGTGCTTGATGCCTTCTGGGAGTAGGTCCTGGGCTAGAGGGCTCCATAGCCCCCTAGCCCAGGTGTGCCCCCAGTTGAGTTTTCAAGAGGGGCAGTGATGCCCTGTGGGGCGCCGGCTTAGCCCTGTGAAGTGCCAGGACCACAGTCCAGCAGCACCTGCTACACAGCCCCGACCTTTGAAGGTTCCTGTCAGCCATAGCAGGTGGGCTGCCCCCTCAAGAAGTGGGGGTCTTGTTCCATCTGACCTGGGTGGTAGTGGCAGGGCCTGAGGCTGGAGGTGTGGTGGGGGAGGGCATGTGGTCTGGAGCTCCCTTGGCAGCCTTGGCACTTTGCCCCAACCTGCATGTTTCCCTGGCCTGAGCGTCGAGACGGTGGTGCTGCCGCTCGCCTCACACGTCATCAGCACAGCAGCCGTGGGGCTTTCCTAGACCACTGAGGGTTCTGCAGGGTCAGGGACCCAGAGTTCCCAGTGGGGTTGTGAGGCAGGTGGCTGGACCTTGTTCTTGGGGCGGGACCGTTGCTTGCAGCGGCGGGGAGAGGGCTGTGGGCGCGGCAGCAGCCCGTCCCGTCTTGCTTTTCAGGGGCTGGCCAGGATGTGGGCCGGAGCTGCGTCCTGGTCTCCATCGCAGGCAAGAACGTCATGCTGGACTGTGGAATGCACATGGGCTTCAATGACGACGTGAGTCCTGAGGGAAGGTGGCCTGCAGGGACCTCATTTGGCTGCTCCTTGTTGCTGTTCTCAGCAGGGCCCCGGCTTCGGAGCCTCGGAATAGGGACTCTGGGAAAGTGGGCAGTGGCAGGAGGCGGGTGGGCCTGGGGTCACTGCATTCCCTGGCAGGCTCCCCACCCTCACTTGACAGATGGGGTGCCCCGTGTGGAAGGCTTGGTTTGTGCCAGAGCAGGGTCTCTTGGGCTCCCGTGGAGTTACGGGGCAGCCCAGTGGTCCCCAGGCAGGCCTTCTTGCTGGGTGATGGGTTCTGGCAGTTTGTTCCCTCCCTGTGTTCTCGGAGGCTGTGGGCAGTCAGTGGTCATGCTGTGGCTGGCCAGGCTCAGCCTCTGCCCTCGTTCCCCACTCCTGGGAGCCACTCTCTGGGGTGCTGGCAGACCCAGGGCAACTGTGTTCTGACCCTTTCTCTCGGCTTGCCAGAGGCGCTTCCCTGACTTCTCCTACATCACCCGCAGCGGCCGGCTGACTGACTTCCTGGACTGCGTGATCATCAGGTGGGCGCCAGTGGGCTGTTAGTGTTGTGTGGGTTTGCGTCTGGCCCCACCTTGAGGACTCGGGAGCCCAGGAGAGCCACTCGGGGCCTGGGAAGGCTGCAGGCTGTGGGGTGTCACAGGCCCGGGTTCTGCTCTAGGTTGTCTATGTGGCACGCCCCCAGAGCTGCCCCTCCCTGACTCTGGATGGTTTGCCTGAGACCTAAGTGTCCACGGTTGCTCCTTAGTGGGCTTTGGTGGGCATGGTGGAGCAAGGGGCACTCTGTGCCGTGTGTGCCTATTGCCTCTGCCCCAAGTGTCACAGATGAGAGCCCTGAGCCCCAGCTGCCCCAGGAAGATGGGGCTGTGCTTGGGCAACCGACCCATGGCAGGGAGGCCATCCCCTCCCCGGTCTGCTCCATTCGTGGACACGCAGCATTCCCTTCCCTCTGCCCTGGTGCCGCCTTGCTGTGGTTCACGTGCCGTGGGGTCTTCCTGCCCATCTGCCAGAGATGCTAACTGTCCGATGCCCTGTGCCTTTCTTAGCTACTTGTCATTACTCTATAGAACATGTGTCTGTCTGACGTGAGCATTATCTCGTCAATGCCCACTGATTTATTGGACTTTTAGATTCCAAGTTCCAGGAAGGTAGTAGTTTTTGTCACTCTGTGGTACTGAGGTGGGCATCTGATGTGCACTAGGGAGTCAGTGTACAAGTGAATGATTGGGTGGAATGACCATGAGGCTGTGCTGGTGTGGAGCCTGTGGAGGGGGGCAGGCTTGGTTGGGGAACAGTGGCCCTGGGCTGACCTGTGTTGCACCCGCAGCCATTTCCACCTGGACCACTGTGGGGCACTCCCCTACTTCAGCGAGATGGTGGGCTATGATGGGCCCATCTACATGACCCACCCCACCCAGGCCATCTGCCCCATCCTGCTGGAGGACTACCGCAAGATTGCTGTGGACAAGAAGGGCGAGGCCAACTTCTTCACCTCCCAGATGATCAAAGACTGTATGAAGAAGGTGGTAGCTGTCCATCTCCACCAGACGGTCCAGGTCAGGGTCCTCGCAGACCCCGTCTCACTCTGTGTTCGGTACTGTCCACCAGGAGGCAGCAGGGGGCAAGCGCATGCGGTCCTGCCCCAGAATCTAGGTCCCAGCCCAGATTCGGGTGCACACAGGGCAGCGTGCCAAGCACCCGTCAAGCACGTGGGACCTCCG